GCGGCATGTCATCAACATAAAGTAACAGAAAAATAGATATTGAAAAATCAGAATCTTTCTTAAAGTAAAGGCAATGATCATAAGAGCTTCTTACAAAACCAACAGTCATAACAAAAGTATCAGACTTTTTATACCATTGTCTAGGGGACTGTTTTAAACCATATAAGGATTTCTTAAGCAAGCACACAAAGTCAGATTTAGATTTATTCACAAAACCTTCAGGTTGTGACATATAAATTGTCTCATCTAAATCACCATGTAAGAAAGCTGTTTTTACATCCATTTGTTCTAATTCCCAATTGTGATGTGCAACTAATGCTAGTAGGACTCTTATAGTTGTGTATTTTACAACGGGTGAAAATATCTCATTGTAATCTACACCCTGTTTTTGTGTAAATCCTTTAGCAACTAATCTTGCTTTAAATCTCACAGGCTCATTATCTGAACTGCCTTCTTTCACCTTGTAAATCCATTAACAGTCAACTATGGATTTTACAAGATCCCAAGTTTTATTCTTCATCAGAGAACTCATCTCTTCTCTCATGGCAACTTCCCACTTGCCAGACTGGTTACAACTCATGGCTTCACTATAGGTCTTGGGTTCCTTATAGGCTAGGTCATTATAAGACATGACAGAATAGGATAGATAGTCTTCATATCTTGTAGGTTCTCTTATGTTCCTTCTAGGCCTATCCCTAGTCAATTGATAGTCACTAAGATCACTTTGTTGACTAAGATCATCCATTTCGGTTTGTTTATGTTCCTCCACACCTGAATTTTTTAATTCAGTTTGAGTCTGAGGTAGTGTAGGTTCATTTTCTCTCACATTATTAGGAACAGAATCAGTTTGAGATCCCAACTCCACCTGAAACCTTGTCACACTTGGGTTTTCAGGGTCTGCAGACTTTTGTTTTTCTAAACAGGGCATCTCTTCCTCATTGAAGGTAACATCTCTACTTGTTATCATTTTATACCCCCCTTGACCTCTAGCCCATAACCTATAGCCCTTAATTCCTTCAGGATAACCTAAGAACACACATTTCTGAGCCCTTGGCTCCAGTTTCCCCAAATTCTGGTGACAATAAGCTGTACACCCGAATATTCTAAGGTGGGAATAGTCTGGTATTTTTCCAGACCACTTCTCTTCAGGTGTCTTACCTTCCAAAGCACTAGAAGGGGTTCTATTCACTATATATGTAGCTGTCATTACAGCCTCCCCCCACAACACCTTAGGAACTCCTGATCCCACCATCATACACCTAATCTTATCCAACAAGGTCATATTCATTCTCTCAGTCACCCCATTCTGTTGAGGTGTGTATGGGACAGTTTTGTGTCTTAGGATACCATTTGATTCACAAAATTTATCAAATTCTGAGTTGCAAAATTCAAGTCCATTATTAGTTCTCAAAATTTTAATCTTTGTAAACATTTGATTTTCAATAAGGACTTTCCAGTTTTTAAACTTTTCAAAGGTTTCAGATTTGTGCTTTAGTAGAAACACCCACACCTTTCTTGAAAAGTCATCAATTATTGAGAGGAAATACTTATTTCCCCTTGGACTACGTTGTGGAGGTTGGACCCCACAAATCAGAGTGGACATATTCCAATGGAGAAGTAGTTTTATGTTTTCCAGAATTAAAATGGAGTCTGTGATGTTTGCCAAAAGTGTAGCTTTCACAGAAAGGTATTTTTGATATTTGGTCATTACCAAATACCCCTTTTTTTATGTAGGATTGTGAGGCCTTTTTCACCAACATGTGCAAGCCTCTTATGCCATTTTAAGGTGGAATCAGATTCAGTATTAGAGATAGTTGTATTATTTCAGCTCTAACTACATATATTCCATTTTTCTTGACACCCTTAAAGATGACAAGAGATCCCTTGATCACTTTCATCAATCTATCCCTAATCCTACCACACAGCCCTAGGTCATCTAATTCTCCCATAGAGATCAGATTTCTTTTAAGTTCAGGAACATACCTCACTCTCTCTAGGGTATACATGTATCCATTTTCAAATTTTAGGGTCACATTACCTAGTCCTTCAACTCTACAGGCAATATTATTCCCCATCACCACTTCACCACCAGCTAACTTCTTAAAATCTTGAAGCCAGGACCTTTCATGTGTAATATGAAAGGTACAACCTGAGTCCAAAATCCACTTATGAACATATCTATTGTGGGCATAATTTGCCACCTCCAGATCAGGTTGCTGAGCCACCACATATACATCAACAGTATTAGGCTCAGCAGGCTCAACTACATTTCCCTCATCAACTTTCTTCTCTTTAGGTTCAATTTTCTTGTTATAGCAGTCTTTTATGTAATGACCAAGCTTACCACAGCCATAGCACTTCCTGTTATTTCTAGATTTTGATTTAGATCTTGATTTACTCCTGAACTTCTTCCTGTTACTATTTCCAGAATTGTTTTGATTGGATAGTTATTATTTTGCCTATTTGGTTGCCTTTCCCTCATGCACAAACTCTCATGTTCCTTCCCATGTTTTTCAATTTTAAGTTCCAATTCTTTACTTCTTATAGGATTTATAACAACTTCTGGGGTCAAAGTATCTCTGCCATACTTAATGGCAGATTTGACATCCCAATATGCTTCTGGTATAGCATTAAGAAGTATTACTGCTTTATATTTTTCAGAAATTTTATCCCCTGCATTGGTGATATCTTGTACCAATTTATTAAAGGTATCAAGATTATCATCCAGGTCTTTGGTTGGATCAATCTTAAAACTAAAGAACCTTTCTAGAAGGAAGAGTTTATTAGGTAAGGATTTCACTAAGTACAGTTCCTCTAATTTCTCCCATAAGGCCTTAGCATTTTCTAATTTCCCTACTTTCCTTAGCACTTGGTCAGATAGGTGGAGAATTATTGAGGTATAGGCTAGGTCATCTGATTCAGTTTTCTGATCTTGTGTCATTGTTTCAGGAAACTCTCCAGTTATTGCCTTAGAGACTTTTTGTTGTTCTAAAACCCCTCTCATTTTTTGCTGCCATATAGGAAAATCTCCCTTCCCATTAAAGGCCCCAAGTTCAAAACTATTGGAAGTCATTTTCTAGATCAAACAGGTCACACTCAGTAATTTCTGATTTGATCACAACATACAAGTGAGAAAAACAGAGATTCTTCATATCACAGGCAAAGCAACATAATGTGTGTAAGTGCGGAAATAACAATTTAAAATACACACAGTCTTCAACACCAAGTTAAAGAAATCAACTACCCTGCCCTACCAGGATTCCATGAGACTCAAGATCTCAGGTCAAGGCTTGGGTGAAGGGTAGAGGTTTTGTTTGATAAACAAAAAAAAAATTAAGAGAGATATTAATACAGAATATAAGAACAGAACACACAGTTACAATCTTCAAGCACATCAAGAATCAGTAACTAAAACACAAGTATACTTCAATGCTTTTATCAGATGAATATAGGCAGAATAACTCTTAACACATAGATATACTGCAATACTTTCATCAAACAGATGTAGGTAGATTCACGCTAAGTACACAAGCATACTGCATTACTTTTAACAAAAATAAGCATAGACAGTTTTAATGCTTAAGTACAAAGTTCCAAATTCACAAAACAATTAACAAGAAGAAAAATTATCAGTCAACTAAGACATGTAACGAAAAAATCAGGCAGTAAAGTTTTGAGTTCAAGAATTAAACCACAGTGGTGGTCGTTTCACTTGACCACACACAGTTTCCACGAAGGCGGCAGTCAACAATACCCAAACTCGAACACTCAAATAACCGAAGCAGTTTTTCACCAAGAGAAACAGATTTATCACAAAGAACATCGAGATATAGGGGTTTGACTCCAAAAAGAATTTACCAGATCACTGTATCAAGTAAGAACGTAGTTCGATTCACCCACACGAGCCAGACGAAGGCTCTGATACCACTGTTACACCAAGATATCAGTACAAAATCAGAAAATAAACAAGAAAAATATTACAAGAAAAATGGCAGAAGAACAAATCCTCAGCCGTTCACTGAAACTCGAACCACACGGCATCCAGATGAAGGTCCTTTCATCTATGGGGCTCAGACTCAAGAAAATACAGGATTGTACCCGTCTGTATGACCCACACCGATCGCCCCAAACCCTAAGGTTTTCCTCTATCAGATTAAAGGAAACCACAAGGGTAAATCACACACCAATCCCTCCAATACACTTAGTATTTAGTATCACAAAGAAAGAATCACTCAGATTTCAGATCCAATCAGAGATTGGATGGTCACGAAGAAGGACGGGTTTGGAAGGATCTCGAAGCACAGCCGCAGCTGAAGAGAGGAGTAAAATGACGGTCCAGCTGAATTAGGGCAAGAGGTGGAAGTATATATAGCCAACCAAGGCAGCCATAGATCAGATTTTAATCCAACGGTCAAGGGGCTTTCAGTAATATGAAGAAAACGTGTTTATTGGCTGCGTTAAAAAACGCCACGCCAAAAAACACGTTTTTATCTACCTTTGGGTCGGGGCGGATCAGGGTCAAGTTATTGGGCAAGAGCCTAGAATATTAAAACAGTTATTTGGGCTTTAGCCCATTTGTCATCACAGCCTAGAAAGGTTATTGGTCTTCACAGCCCAACAACATAAGTGAAAAATGGCATCCCATTTCAACCCTGCAAAACAATTATTAGTGATTTCATTGAATGTTCAATGAAATAGCTAATTAAATAACTTAAAACATGGGAGTATTTTCTTTAGCAAGTAATTAATAGTATGCGATACAAACAAGAGGAGTGATTAATAGTACGATGATACAACATGAAAAGGGATAACCCGTGAAAGCTTTCTCGTTGCTACTTCCGCTAAATCTCCTTCACCTTTCTCTTGGGCAAAGAAACTTTAGTGGAAGCAGCAAAAAGAAGCTTGGGTTATCCAACTTACATTATGATCAAAATTAGAAAATCATAAGTGGTTTGCTCCTCTTAAATAAAACTACTTTTTTTTTTTTCTTTTTTCTAATTGGAGCACAAAATTAACTGGGTTCATCCTTGCAGTTTCAAGATTGTATTGCTCCATTTAGCCATCTTGAATGATAAGCCTTTGCCTTGTGAGGAGTAATCATCTCAAGATCATGATGAATGCATTTGTGATACGAGAAGTCTTCCACTGTTCCATCGGTCCTTACAAGTAAAAAGCAGCGTGATTCTACATGTTTTGGGTGACGACCAACCTGAAACACAAGGAAAATATGTGAAGAAATTTTCAATCTTCTCTTTGCATCGAACACTTTTTTTTTTTAATAAATATTAACGTGTGGAATGTACCTTTATCTCCATAGCACCAATTCCAATCTTCTCTTTGAATCGAGGATGAAACTGTAGAGCCCTCATTGCAGCAGACTTGTCTTCACCAGTTAACTGGTGATCAATAGGGTACCTAAACCACACAAGATAAATTGTTTGATTTACGAGGACTGCATCAACAGTTTAAGTAAATGTAAGTCTTGCAAGCATTAATCATTAGATTCACTAACATAAAATGTTTAGTGCTAAAAAAGAAAAGAAAAATAAATAGATTTACGTACTCATGTAAAATACGCTGCAAAACCCGTGAAATCCTCTGTATGTCATCTTGTAAGATATACTGCGAGTACATATCTGTTGTCAAATTTTACGCTCCTTTCCTCTCAATAGACACTCGGTGACATATTTGCCTAGTGTTTCTTTTTGCTTCACTGGTAACTTAATGTTCTCTTTCTGTTTAGTAGAGCCAACATGGGTACTCAGCAGGTTCATGTCCCTGATGCATGATGGAGTAGAAACCATTGAACCAAAGGAGTTATCACCTTCAAAAATGCAAGTATAGCCTGATCCATGTATGGATGCATGTGGTAAAGAAATTTCTATTCAAGAAATGACATGATTATAATAAATTGAATCCAAAAATATATCAATAATGAATCAACATCAACTTCCTTTTTACATGAAAGTAGCTTGCTTTTACCAGATGATATCCACAATGATATCAACTATACACAGTATCGAGTACATTATGTTTACCTTCCCGTTAAATATAATATCAAAACTGCAACCAGTTCCAATCGAGGGAGTTTGTCCCCATGCCAATGCCTCAAGACTCCCTTGAAGTCCATCTGTTTGTCCAGTCTTAGCAGCTTTAACAAAGCAATCACTAGGATTCTGTGACATCTTGTTCTACTACTGATACTCTAGTACTAACAGGGCTATAATTTTTACTCAAAACCTATGTATAATTATAATTTGTTTAGATACATTTACAAGGAAAAATAGAGGCAAGTAGAAATGCACCGCAAGTCTTCGAAATTGAGCGGAGTTGTATTAGGATTACTATTTGTCAATTTGGTGAATTCAAATCTATTAGGGAAATAAAGGAATGAGAATAATATGGCAATATGAAAATCAAACAAGAGCGTGGTAAAAAAATACCATGAGCAGAATAAGAGAATTTTATTTATATCAAGAATGGAGGATTCCAAATTATTGTTTAGAACGTAAGGATTGATTTTTTTTAGAGCTTTTCTTTTTATATATATAGTGCAAAGAAGAGAAGAGCCTAAGATATGGTGGAATTCGACTATAATAAGTCTATACAATAATGGAGCGTTTAAAATAAAATAAGATTCAAAAATCCATCAAAATTGTGAACTGTTCCAAAGCCGGATAAAATTGCACTCTTGTTTTGGGCGCTCGAGCAGATGCTTAGCATGTAGTTAGTGCCGATGTGATGCTTTCTTTTCCTTGCATGATTTCTTCCTCTACCATTGTAAATTGGACTTCTTCGAGTCTAACACGAATCATCATATCCCAAATTGAATTTCAAATAGAATTCTCAAATAGACTTCAACTAGAATTCCCAAATAGTCTTCAAAATAAAATTCGGCTAACACTCTAATTCTAACAAAATCATTCAAAATTGATTCCTTGCAGATTTGATCGCTTATCTTCAATTTGGTGCAATCATATTGCCTAACTTTGATTTGCTAGTAAATATGGTCATTGTGTATACTACCCTTTTAACACTTTTTTTTTTTTTATTTATCGTAACCTACTCTTTTACTTTATTTAAAAAAAAAAATTGCATTAACTAGCACATTTTTTTATTTTTTTATATTTTTTGAACTTTAGTTAAACTCGAGACACTAGACAAAGTTGGGTAATTTGATTGAACCAAATTAATGATGAGCAAAAACTCAAAGCCAGGTTACCAGCACTGCAGTACATTTAACGTCCAAGTCTGCATGCAAATCTAAATTGGGTAACTTGATTGCATCAAATTAAAAATTAGCTGCAAAATCTGCAAGAAAATAGAAGTTGGTTGACATAGTTACTCCAAATTGAAGATGATTAACCTTGATGCAACTCGCATTTAACCCTCGAATGCAGTGAGTGATTAAATATCATGCCAAAAGCGTTGATATGACTTCAATGAAATATTGACCTTTTTCAGTTGGTGGTTGGAATTAATGTGGTATTGAAGTTGCAAAAGTATTGGGTGACAATCAACCACCAGTGATACAAATATGCTTGAAAAGTGTGTATAAATTGATAGAAATTAGTACTGAATAAATAGATAATACACGTGGATCTCACGAAATAAGAGAATAAAAAGTGATTTAATCTTTTATAAACAATTTGTAAGCATTAACCAAACATAGGCTAAATATTCTCCTCGGTGTCATGTAATTCCTCATATTGATTGGGCCATACTTATTTTAACGAACATAACTTTTAAAATTACCAATGTAGCTAGTAGCTTGGTTTGCATATTTAAGGCTGACTATACCATTTGAAGACATCACAAGGCACGCTGCCATGAGACGATTCATCTTTCTAGCATGCGAAGTTTCTTGCTTTGTGGATTTTACTACTTAAATTCATTTTTGAGGAGATAAAAATTGAAAATTATTGTCTGAATTTGGTACTCCTTTTAGCATGTTCGATTAGAGATGGCAAAAAAGCCTGTTTAACCCGATATCCATGAGGCCCCGCCCCGAATGGGGATATGATGGATATGGGACGAGGGTCATTGCTTTGTAGTGGGTATGGGATGAGTACGAGAAACATAATCCCTGTCCCATTTAATATTAATTTAAAATTTAAGTTTTTATCAAACAAAAATAATAGATTTATTATCATTTTTTTTAAAAAAAAACATAAGTTATTTTTAACAAATTGATAAAAAAGTAATACTATTTACTAACTAAGGACGTAAAAAACTTAATATCTGAGATGTGAACTCCTACCTAACAAAAATACCCAATAGGATGGGGTGAGAATGACCAACCCGTCTCATTCGTGGCCCATTGCCATCCCTATGTTCGGCTGTACATAGTATCTCAAAGACGTCAAAAGATAAATTTGATACGCAATATTCATGAGGATTGAATGCTATTATTGATAAAACATCATAATTAATGTTATATTAAAAGAGAATCAATCAACATCGAACCAATGATAAAGAAGTTTACAAAAGTGGTTATATAAATGCTTTCTATTATGGCCCTTTGTTTTCTCCCACTACCAGATTCCCCTTCCCAAACATTTCGGCGGTTATTTAAAATTTAATTGTACAAGTGAATCTTACATCAAGAAAATATCGTTTACAAGAACTATTCAAAAATTTCCACTTTATCAGGAACCAAACTTTCGTGCAATGTATGATTGAATCATGATGTCTAAAAGTCATTAGTAGTTAAAATGCACCACAACTCTTTTGATCGATGGATTAGGGGACCCATAGTCACCTAAAATGATGAAGATTTGTACTAAAATATATTGGACTTCATAATACTCATTCACATGCGGGTTGGATTCATTTTTCATTAAAGACCAGCACCTTCACAATTTTTACAAACAAGCAGCTCTAAAACTAATTTTCTAAACCTTGATGATTCTAATACCAAATCACTCCACTTCAACTAAAAGCTTTATATATATCTAGTAAATAGAAGCGTATATAAATCCACTATAAATAATTCTATAGAGATCTATGTGAAACAAAGAATGAGCAATCACTATGAT